AAACCAAAAGGTGGTAAAAAAAATTTACAATCCGATAATGAAGATGATAATGAAACAACTGAAACAGCTCACCATGAAACTAAAACTGAGCGAAAAAAACCAAAAGGTGGTAAAAAAAATTTACAATCCGATAATGAAGATGATGATGAAAATAATGATGCTCAACCAACAGTTGTTCATAAAGAAGCTCAACAAGGTAAAAAGTAGTTTTTACAATATGTCTTCTACTTGAATTTCATTTCTTTTTCTTATTGGACTTTCAAACTTATCTAAAAATGTTTGAAAGAAGAGTATTAAAAAATCAGTTTTCTGAATATGATTAAAAATATTTTTCAGTTTTCCACGATCTACTCGCAACGAGCTGTACTCATTCCACGAATCTTCTCAAAGCTTGAAACATAATGAGTTCAATGAAATTTTCATAAAAGCAATAGAAAGTTATCTTTAAGGATTCTCGTAAAATCATTGCAACTCAATGAAGATACGTCTATTTTTGTTTAGAAATATTTGTTCGATAAGATGAACTTATTTTCAAACCATTTTTGATTGTATTCAGAAAATTAGTTTGTTGAGGGTCTTTGATTTTCCAGAGATTCTCATCTTGCTAATTTTTATGGAAATTTAAGAAATAGATTTTCTAAGAGAAAAATATTTGATTTTCCATTTAGCTGATGTCAACTTTTCCGATGAATCAGATGATAATACACAATCGAAGAAAAAAAATAAAAAACAAAAACAACAAAAAAAAGATGGTAAAAAACAAACAACAAAAGGTAAATTCATTATTATCTATAAAATATCTTTAAAAAATTTGAATATATGTCTTTTAAGCTGAATCAGAAAATGAAGAACACGATAAAATTAAAGATGAGGATGAACCTGTTATCAATAATCAACCAATTGAACTAAAAGAAGTTTCACAAGGTTTGTAATTGAAAAAGTTTTTTTTTCAATGAAACATTTTTCTTTTTTATTTTCAGCACCTATTGAATTTAGTGATTCAGATGACAATGATAAAAAAAAACAAAAATCATCAAAGAAAAAACAAAAACATGTTACATCTGAGCAACCACAACCAACTCCTGTCAAGCAAGAACCTCCACCATCTGTTGTCGAACCAGAACCTGCACCAACTATTGTTCCACAAGAACCAATACCACAGCCACCACGTAAGTTGGAATTTATTGAATTGTCTAAGTCTGATGACTTCCGTGTAATATTGTCTTACGATTGAAATCTGTCAATTAATGAATCAAGTCTTTATGCATCATGTAGACTCGAATGAACTAGGAGTACTCTAAAAAGACTTCAGGCTCTTAGCCAACTACTGCACAGGTGTTGCAAATTTATGAAATTTTCAAATGAATGTCGTTTTTTGGAAGCGGAGGAGGGAGACTTCAAAAATTTGGTAGTACGTCGACGTTTTTGCAAAAAAGTTTGAGCCTAGTAAAAAATCAGAAGTTCTTCAGTAGCGATAGAGACTAGTAGTCATAACTTGTTCGGTATAAAAACATTTCAAAACAAAAAACCGCACATGTTTTAGTAATTAGTCTTCATGACTTTTTCAGATGCATAAGTGAGTATATGTCACTTAAGAGAGGATAATGACACATAACAGCAGAAATGATATCGACTTTCTGCGAGAAATTTCGCATAAAGTATTATCAAAAATTATGGCAGGAAGTCTGAAACTTTAGGAGGAAAAGCTTCTACCCACACCCGCTAATCTGGGAACCTGATAGAGACAGCAGGGCTTAACAAGAAATGGTTTTTGGTAATGGCTCAATATTTGTCGCTATTACTATGGTAATAGCGAATCTTTTATACCGGTTACGTAAACAGACAACTTTTGATATTATTACTTCGGGATAGAAGCAAATTAAAACGCCTGAAACTTTCACAATAAACTACTCCCCCGTAATAGAAGCCCTCTCATTTTTAAAAACTTTTTGAAAGTATTTGTGGAATTTTTAATATAAAATTTTCAAAATTCAACATCTTAATCCTTTGGGGACGGTTGGTCCCTTAACGAATCATGGTGATTCTCTGGTATTTCAAAACACACAGATTCCTATATGAGATTAGTTTTTGTTACAGCATTTATCAGAGAGTTTTTTGGTATAATTTGGATTGTAATTAGGTTATTTTATTCAGATATCCAGTAATGGATAATAAATATAACAAAACTGACTTTCAGAGAAAAAACTCTATAATCTAGAATCCTTGTTAGCAATGTTGCTCTCTATATAGGGACATGTTGGATGATGTTTTACATGCGTATTCTTTTTTCTTCTTCCCTTTTCTCTTCTTCAGGGTGTGGGTATGGGTGGGTGTGAGTTTGGATCTTCGCTTCACATACATCCACACCCACCCACACCCATACCCTTGATTGATTTTTGATGAAATATACAGCAAAAAGACCCGTCCTCAAAGGGTTAAGGCAAGAATTTGTTTGATTTTCTTATTTACCAGCATAAAAATCTTGAAATCTCTTAGAAAGTCGTTTAAACAACTCTTAAAAATCCTGAAAACTTCTAAAACCCTTTGAAATTTTTTCCATCTAGTAATAGTAATAATGATTCTACAGAAGTATATACCATTACTGTTTAAATTTGATAGGAAGGAAAAAATTGTTTTTTTTTTTTATTTTTTTGTTTTATTTTATTTCATATCAACGTTTCGATGTATAAGTCTTCATTGCCGAGATAAAGGATGAGATTGTTACAAAAATAGAAAATTTTACATAGAACAAAATAAGAACAAAAGCCTTCTACACAATACACGAACGTAATTTGAATTAAGCAGCGCGATGGGTGCATTAATATTTAAGGGTGTGGGTGTTTCTTTGAGACATAACACGCACACAACCACACCCACCCACACTCACACCCACATCCACACACCCACACCCACACCCCACACCCACCCACACCCACACACCCACACCCACACACCCCACCCACACACCCACACCCACACCACCCACACCCACACCCCACACCCACACCCACACCCACACCCACCCACACTCACACCCACATCCACACACCCACATCCACACCCCACACCCACCCACACCCACACCCACACACCCCACCCACACACCCACACCCACACCACCCACACCCACACCCACACCCCACACCCACACCAACTGTTGATTTGTAGTTAATGTGACTTCTGTTTATTGTGATATCTCGATAATGATGACAAATTGAAGAAGAAGAACAGTTAGAGAATAAGATAATGAATGTACTATCTGACCACATAGTGTAGAACGAACACCAACATATATACATAAGAATAGATTGGGAAAAATCCTATATACGAAAATGTGGATATTTCCAATACTTGTGAATGTTCGTAAACTCACCAGCTGAACAGTAACAATCTCTCATTGTATGTCTCGGTAATGAAGATTTCTACTTCGAAACGCCGATATGAAATATAATAGATGAAAAATTAGAAAAAAGAAATTTCTGTTTCTTCCTATCAAGTTTAAATAATGATGCTATAGGTTACTGTAAAATCATTATTTTTATTTTCAAAGTTATTTTTCACAAATACAAAAATTTTTCCATCTAAAACTATTGAAGTATTTTAGGATTTAATAGAAGACTCCTCCGAAAATTTTGAATGGTAGATAGTTTAGAAGCCCCTGGGAGCTTCCTAACTGGGAGAGGACTGAAAATCGCTGAAATTTCCTGGTAATTTTTCAGCAGTGTTCAGACTTCCGAAAAAGGAAATTTCAGAAATTTGGGTAATTTCGTTTTTTGGAAATCTGAACATACATCAATTTTCTATAGTTTGCTAGTTATTGTTTTTGATGGATTACTTTACTACAATGGAAATTTCCATTATTGAGGAAATTTTCTTATATGGAAATCTGAAATATTTCCATTAGTATTAATCTTTTTTTCTTGTGTTTTTAGTTCCTTCGACCGAAACATCAATAACAAAAAAGAAAATTTCAAGTAAAGAATTAAAAAAATTAGTAGCTGCTGAAGAAGATACTCCGGTGGATGACGACGAAGAAACAGAAACTGTTATAGAAACAAAACGAGAAGAACCAATGGATAAACCAATTGAAAAAAAAATAACACGAAAAGAACTTAAAAATCTTGAAAAAAAAGCAGCTTTTGAAAAACTTATTGCAGAAGCACCTGAAACTGATCAATTTTCTGTATCACAAGCATCAACACAAAATCGACAAGCACAATTATTTGAAACTGCTATTGATATTAAAATTGAAAATTTTTCAATATCAGCACGAGGTAATGATTTATTTGTTAATGCTACGTTGAATATAGCTAATGGTCGTCGATATGGTCTTGTTGGACCAAATGGTATGGGTAAAACAACATTACTTAAACATATTTCTAATCGTCAATTAGCTATACCACCAAATATTGATGTTTTACTATGTGAACAAGAAGTTCAAGCTGATGAAAAAACTGCTCTTGAAATATTATTAATGGCCGATAAAAAACGTTTAAGTTTACTTGAAGAACAAAAACGACTTGAATCACAACTTGAAACATCAAATGATGTTGAATTACAAAATAAACTACGGCATGTTTATGATGAATTAAAAGCTATTAATGCTGATGCAGCTGAACCAAAAGCACGACGAATTCTTGCTGGTCTTGGTTTTACACCAAAAATGATAGCACGTCCATCAAAATCATTTAGTGGTGGTTGGCGTATGCGTATATCTCTTGCTCGTGCACTTTATATGGAACCAACATTATTAATGCTTGATGAACCAACAAATCATCTTGATCTTAATGCTGTTATTTGGCTTGATAATTATTTACAATCATGGAAAAAAACTTTATTAGTTGTATCACATGATCAATCATTTTTAGATAATATATGTACGGATGTCATACATTTAGATAATAAAAAATTATATTATTATAAAGGAAATTATTCATTATTTAAAAAAATGCTTTTACAAACACGTGCACAACAATTAAAAGATTATGAAAAACAAGAACGTGCATTAGATGACCTAAAAAAACATGGTCATTCATCAAAACAAGCATCAGCTAAAGTTGGTAAACGTGAAGAACAAAAATCAAAAGAGAAAAACCGTGGACGAAAACAAGATACAGTTGATGATGAAACAACTAATCGAAAAGAATTATTACAAAAACCAAAAGAATATGTAGTTCGATTTCGTTTTCCATCACCACCACCATTAAATCCACCTGTATTAGGTGCATATGATGTTACATTTCGTTATGAAAATCGTGAAACACTTTTTGAAAAACTTAATTTTGGTGTTGATATGAGTAGTAGAATTGCCATTGTTGGACCGAATGGTGTTGGTATGTACATTTTTGTTCTGACATGAATTCATAGAAAATAATTTAAATATCTCAAAGTCAGATAAAGTTAATGAGTTTATTTTTATGTTAGTGAGAAAAGTTCAAAATTTTTCTTTTTGTCATACTTATTTTTGTTCAAAAACTAATATTCAATATTTCAAAGATTGTAACTCATTGACTTTTAAATTCGTTAGTTCTTAAGATATTCTTAATGACTTAATTCTTTTTTTGGATGTTTTTTCTTTGTTGTTATTAAGATTGAAATAGAAAATTGTTTATGAATCAATACGAAAGCAGTTTTTTTATGCATTAATAGTTTATATTTTTGCGAGGCTCGAAACAGCAGACACTATGACTTTACTGAACTTCATGAGATTTCGAAAGATTTCATGAAACTTCATACGATTTCAAGACTGAAGTCTCGGCTGTTTTCTCATTGGAATCACCTTGTTCTGCAGCATAAGTGGTGAAACATTTTGATTCTAGAATAGGCCAAATATTGTTCATAAAATCTACATTTAGATGAAATACAGTTAGTGTTTTTTTTCCGAATTCCCATTTTGAAAGGTACAGCAATGGTATAGATCAGAAAAAAACTAGGAACTTCCATAGAAAAAGAACGGTATTTATAGAAATATATGCATGCTCATATTCATTGAAATACCACCTTCGAAGGAAACTATTCTGATGTGTTCTATGGGAAAAAAGTTAACGGTGAGGCAGAAATGCTTTATAACAAATGATGTTACATTGGAAGTTAGTTCACTATTGAAAATGTGTGATAGACGTCTAATCTTAGCTACCGATTCTTCACTTGTAATGAAGGATCCTTACTTCAAATCATCGTCGATGTATGATCCAAGATTGGCTTATAAAAAAAGCTGAATATTTCTTTAAAAACATTTTCTAAGTCTGTTCAACTAAAAAATGTTATTGTTAGCCGTCGAAGGCAGGAAAAAATATTGATGTTTATAGAAAAAATGTGACGCGCTGTTCAAGTCTGTCAATTTGATGGAAGTAGACAAGTGTATAGACCCTCTTAAGCTTGGGGACTCCGCTGTCTGCTGTGTACGAAAAAATTTTACTCTACATATTTCTATCTATGACCATAATAAAACTAATCATGACTTTCATTTTCCGATAGCTGATTTATACATCGAAATTTAATTAACTGTAAAAACTTCATGAACAAACCATACCGATTCCAACTGATAAGGTTACTCTTGGACATTTGTCTGTTTGTGATTGTAGATCAATAAATAGCGACTGACTATGTAAAAAAAATAAATGATATTAACTTTTGTAATTTGAATATTATTTTGAATCTAAATTCAGACGAACTTTTACAATAGATGATAAATTATTCATATATTTATTTCTTTTTTTGCTATTTAACTAGGTAAAAGTACATTTTTAAAATTATTAATGGGTGTACTAGAACCAACTCGTGGTGAAATTCGTCGAAATCATCGTCTTCGAATTGGTCGTTTTGATCAACATGCTGGTGAACAATTTAATTTAGAATTATCTGCTGTTGAGCATTTAAAACGATCATTTAATATGCCTGAACAAGATACAAGAAAATCTCTCGGAAGTGTTGGTTTACCTGGTCGTGCTCATACAATTAAAATGAAAGATTTATCTGGTGGACAAAAAGCTCGTGTTGCACTATCGGATTTAATAGCACGTGAACCTGATGTATTAATTCTTGATGAACCAACAAATAATCTTGATATTGAATCAATTGATGCATTAGCTGAAGCAATTAATGATTTTAAAGGTGGTGTCATTATTGTTTCACATGATGAAAGACTAATACGTGAAACAAATTGTCAATTATGGGTTATTGAAAACAAACAAATTAATGAAATCGATGGAGATTTTGATGATTATAGAAAAGAATTACTTGATTCATTGGGTGAAGATATTATTCATAATCCAAGTGCAGCAGCAACAGCAGCTGCAACTATTTAAATCTTTTTGTTTTTCTGATCGTTGTATGTCTATTAGGCAAAATAATCTATTTTCTCTTTTGCTAAATAAACACACAGCGCAGTTATTAAATATATATATATATATATAATTTTGCTGTAAGAAGTATCAAAGAACAATGAACTTTTCTCAAGCTACTTTTTATATGTTACATGTATATTAAACTAATCTAGAGATCTTTGTTCGAAGGATTTATCAGTAAAAAAAACTAGCGTTATTGTTATGACATAAAAAAAGACATCGATGCTCACGTCAAGTATTTCAGTTTAAAAAAAAAACTCTGAATTGAAGCAGGATTTCTGATAAATAAATATTAAATTCTATAGACAACTTCTGAAGCTACAATATCTCTATCCGAATTTGTTTCTACAGGTGTCTAGGTTTTTCAAAAAAGAAATCGATTTTCTTTTCGTTACAGACATGATCAAGCGCAAGCAAACTGATTTCAATAGCAGAAACCAATACAAATCATTACTGTTGTATTTATATCAACTGCTCAGAGTTTTACAGATTCAATAAAACAAAACAAAGATTATCAACTTTTATTAGGACTTCTGTGAACTTTATCACCAAAAGAGTAGTGAATTTACGCTAAGTTCTGAGATTTTTATTCTTCATAATCAAACTATAGTCTTTATGTACTGACATTCATCATTCTATCGAATAGTTCATTAACTAGTTGATGCAAATAGGATGTGGATGTGCGAATAGTGTGGGTCTTTTGTTCTTGTGCACTCGCATTCACACTCACCAACTCACATCCACACCCCGCACTTACACTCTTGGGCACTAATTAAACAGGAGTCGATCGATATTGACCGAAGAACGGATCGTTTTCGATAAGCTTCTGTTGTATTTGAGCATCGAAGTTGTCGATCTAGATTGCTTTATCATGACTTCGTTGAGTGAATTTGATATACTCTCATAATGTTTCTCTATTAACGCCAATTGCACTAGATCAGAAAAGCATTTTACAATGATGTGACGAAAAACGAATGTTTTGATTATTATTAGAAATTACTCAAAATCACTTGAAGTCCATTAAAATCAGCTGAAGTCATACGAAATTAGATGAAGTAGCCGAAATGATGTGAAATCATGGGATCAGTTTGTTATCCTTGGATGATTCGAAGATAGAGTATTTTCAGTTGTTTTACGTGCTTTTTCGAAAAACCAAAGTGCTTTTAAGAAATCGCCCATGACATTATACACTTGACCCATATTGTTGTAGCAAGTAGCCAAATCAGAATAACTCGGATGCATAGCTTTTTTAGATATTTTACGTGCTTGTTTGAAAAACTGAAGTGCTTTTGAATAGTCACCCATGGCGTTAAAACGTGATAATTTATCGAGAGCTATTGGTCGTATTGCAGATAAAAATGATCGAACGAAATTTGCAATCGAAAATGCAACACGATGTTGAATTGTACTTGCTGATGAGTATGTTTATTAAAATAGAATAATGATTATTGATATAATTCTATTCTTATTTAATAAAATTCATATTCTAGATTCATATCAAAATATTCAAAATGTACGAACAACAATTTTCAATCTGATCTTAGGCTCACCGACGCTAAAAGTCTATGGAAAATTGCGAACTGTAGCAGTAAGAACAGCTGAAAGTTTTTGAAAAGAAATTCATTTCTGTTGTTGTTTGTTATTTGCTACTGTTATGTATATTAAAAAAAAAACTTGGCCAACGATATACGGAAAAATAGATCTTTCGACTTGAAAAAGTTATAAATAATTCAGATCTTTCTTCGGACACGGTTTCGAAACTTTTTAAGCATCAAACTATCGTTAGTTGATTGTCGATATATCGATGTCGCTGATAGAAGGTATTTTGACAGTATATCAAAGAATTAATTGTATACGATCTAGCGAAGAGTGGTCAAATATTATTGTATAGATCTTCTCAGATATGCTCAATATTTTTGAACAAAAGAAGTCTATCAGAGATGACAACAAAGAAAAATCTTTTTTTTTGTCACTTTTTCAAAATATATTCATATACGAAATATTAATGTAAATATTTATTTTAATGTGAAATAAGATAGTATCTGTTGTCAGTATCATAGAATTATTCAACATTCGAACAAAATGAATACTAGATGAAAATCATGATATTTGGAAATATATTCCAAATAAAAATACTTCCATTGTATATAACATTAAAAAAAAGGTTGTCTTACACGCATATAACTGTGTCAAAGAATTGATGGAACGAAAAGCATGACCTGAATGATAAATGATTGTCACATCTCAAAATGAAGTTTACTAAATGTAATAACAATGTCGGAGAAACGATGGTGGTGTAATTATAGTAAACTATCACCATCAAGAGAAGCATATTTCCGAGATGATCAACGATTCTTTTTTTTCGTTTTGATTTTATTAACCTAATCTCTTAGTTTATTATCTTCATGGCTCTGATAGAATGATCAATCATTATGATTTTATTTATCTCTTCAGCTACTAAACCAGAATTCTATCTTAAATTATTTTAGAAGACTTATTTTAAATGTAAACTTTTTCATGGAAAGATTAATTTTCTTGTAAACGAAACTATTTATTTTTGCGAACAAAAATTCAATGCGTTTTATTTCTACAATTTTAAATTAAACATTGAATACTAAATATCGAATATAGAAATGATAGTTCTAGTTTTCAAAAGTTAAATAAAGTTTAATCTATATTTGTTGGAAGGCGACGAAAGAGAAAAAATGGTCTTAATTAATAAAACTAACACATTGTCTCAATCAATCTTATTGACTAACTTTATGAAAAAATGCACTGAATAGGAATTAAGATGGAATTTGTATGAAATAAGACTTTCCTTTAAATGCTAGAATAATAAGACATAATAAAAAGGTTCTTTAGAAATTTTGAGAAATTCTCTGTATTGTTCGATTTTTAGATTTCCTAGGTGATATTGTATATTCTAATCAAATATTCTAATTCTTATTTGCCTCTGTTTATCGTTGTGTTACTTTCTATGGTATTTAATCAATTTGTAATCTATATGATTTATCTTTACTCATGGCTCTGGCATGCTTTCTTGCTCCTATTTGATATTTTTGATGTTGATATGAAGAATAGATGTGATTTAAACGAGAACGATAACAATCTTCGGCATTTGATTTGTATCTGATCTTCAGAAGCTTTGTTGCGATCTTTTCTACCTGATGGATTTTGTCTGATAATATTCATATGTTCAACATTATGTTTTCAGTTCTGCTCCATTCGATGATTGACTATCTCATTCTTCTTTGCTATAAAAATAGATATTGTCAATTGATTAAATAAAAAGTTTAATATATACAGATATATTTGCCAAAAGAATTTCTTTAAACTTGTCAAAATATGGACAAGATTTTCAATATAATTTGATACATGAAGTATTATTTTAATTTGTAAGAAATGTTTATTATAAATAATAGTTTAATCTAGTTTTCTGCTCGAATAATATAGATTTGTTATTATCTTCAATGATTACTGAAATTTCTCGAAAGAAAACTTTCTTTGTCATTTCATACGAATTTTTATTTAGATAGTAAAATATTTTAACAGATTCAATCCAGATCAATAATTATTTTCACGAGAAAATTTAATCATTTATCATCCATATCTATTGTTCACTTTCTAATTAATGTTGAGAGTGGATGTAAATTTGGGTGTGTATTTTCTCATCATCATCAAAACATCTACCCCACATTCTCTCATTTATTATATTTCATTCATAGTGACACTGATTATTGCCTTAGAGAAAGTCTTGCACATTCTAAAGAGGAACCAGCCAATGCGAGTGATTCGTGGGAACTCAAGATATTACGAGCTAAAGAACATATCTACTTGAATTATTTCAAGTTATTCTTCGCTTGTCAATACAATTATAAAACCAGTCCTCTTCAAACTGATATTAAAAAATTCAATTAAACCAGATAATTTAAACAACAGATTTCTATGTAAATATTCATTCCTTGATAATTGACTACAGATAAGATAAATTCTGATAGATTAATAATAATAGGATGTGGGATGTGAAGACAAAACTCAAAATTCACATTCATACCCTTCATTGCTGCCTTTCTTCTAATTCTACCAATCTAGACTTTTTAACTAGTGTTAATGATGATGAGCAATACCTCACATAGCTTAACTAAAAAGGAGGAGGACGAAGAACTATTAAATAAGTAAAATTCTATTGTCACTGCTTTATCATCAGATATGACTCAACCGAAATTGCCAAATATTTCATTTATTCACTCACAAAAAAGAAAACCTTTGCTCATAGTCTATGAACATGTTTTCAAATTGAATTCAATCACAGCTACTACTAAATATTGGTAATATACATTTGATGAATGTTCAGCAAGAATTCATATATATTTGAATGGTCAAAATATGTGTATTCAATTTAATGTAGGTTTAGGTGTAAGAACAAAACAAACCAAAACAATTCCAATTCAACGTTGTATTAGCGATTTTGATAAACGATATTATTATGGTGCTATAAATGCTATTGAATATCTAGATAGTTTATCATTTACAGTTCCTCAACGAAAAAATGAAAGTTTATGAATTTTTTTTTTCTTTTTAATTTTTGACTTATATTTGATCTCTGTTAGAATGTTAGTATTAACCCATACAATACAGAATGTCCTTCGCTAGTCAGAATCTTTAAAATACTTTTCGACTAGTTTTTCGCGTCGATATTCTCTTTTTCGACGTTTTTCCTGTTCGATATATTTCTCTTCTCTTTTTCGACATTTTTTCTCTTTGATTTTTTTTTCTCTTTCGACATTTTTCTTCTTCAATATTTTTCGCTTCCGACATTACGGTCAACCATTGTATGAGCATCGGCGGCCGTGCGAACACATTCAATGTCGATATGTATAGACACACATACATAGATCAGATGAAGTCATGTTGATCGAAGAATGGCCAGTTGAATTATGGCTCGAACTGTTTGTTTATATGTCAACATTTGATCTGGTCATCAGTTGGTTTAATCTAAACATTCGTTTGAATCGTATGATCGAACGTGCACTTTTACTAGGTCTTCATCAGTTCGATCTTGATGAAATCTGGACACATGAAACCTTTATGAATTGTGTTGAACATGTGTATCCACGTTTAGCTCCTTATGTAAGCAAGATCATCTTGCGTGATACATTCGCCACTGCACGTCTAGTAGCAAAATCTAGTTATTTTCTTCCTCTTTGCCTCAATGTACGTCGATTAATACTCTGTGAAAATGTTATTTCATTTTTTCCATTCAGTCACCATATAAATATATTCAAAGAGTCATCATTATTACACGAACTGATCATCGAATTTGGCCTTCATGGAAGTAATTACTATTCGAATACACTTGAAAAAATGCTCAAAAACAATATTTCATTCCATACTATGCGATTCAATGTTATTGACAGTAAGACAAATTTAAATTCTATATGATATGTTTTCATATTTTCATATAGATGCTTCTCCCTATCTCGGCACAAATTTGAACATTTTACATTTTCATCTCGGAGATGATCATGGAATATGTCTTGCTAATACTGTATGTTTGACATTATTAGTGCAACGATGGTCAAATTTAATTATGCTTATACAAGATGGTTGTTTACCCTTACTTGAAGAACTCGATGTTACAATCGAGCAACGACCTTCATATAATGAACAAGAAAACGATGATGATCGACTTCATTCAGTTAATCTTTTCAAATTACGATCACTTCGTTTATGTGATGTTACATTAAATAATGTACGTGATCTTCTTCGTTATGTACCGTCATTATCTTTCAAACTCGATACACTTTCATTGGTTCGTGTACGAGTAGATGATAATGATAACATCACTAGTCTTCATCATCTTGTTGACTTTAAAAATTTACTAATCAATCGTTTATCTGCTCAATTATGTCGTTTGCAGCTTATTCTCTACATTATATCCGATGATACTTTTTGCAAACATGCACTTGATGTATTTAACGTTGTTGATGACATTTGGCCATGGCCTCATATGCATCATCAAACAGAAGAGTACATTGATAACCAAAATTCTAAACCAATTGACGTCTTGTACATGAGTTATCCCATCTCATGGTACTCTTGTCAACGACGACGACTTAACGACCAAACGAGTGTACATCATCTTCGTTGGTCTTTTCAAGGTGTACCACCAAGACGTATCTGTTGGACTTTAGAAAATGAAGATGAAATGAGCAGTACCAAAGCTACTACAAATGATATATATACATGTTTGAATACTCTCGTTAATGTCAATTCACTTAGTTGGTTCATTAGTTTAAATCCTGTAAGTTTATATCAGGAGAAAGAACAAATCATTTCAGAATTAATCAATTCTATGTCATGTTTGTGTACAAATATTTAGAAATGTGATTTTTCACAAGTTCAAAATTGTCAGTTAACTTCAAAAGATAGAATCTCCAGCAGAGTCTTAGAGAAAAAAAACATCTTAGATTTTTAACTTTGCACAAAATTACTGGAAATATGAACGAAAAAGGATAGGTGTGTTTCGAATGTTCACTAGTCTGCTATTTATCAATAATAGTTTAGATTATCATGCGATTAGAGATGTATAAAGTCATCATTTGTCAATTCGGGTTCTAGTTATTTCTTGAAAGATGAACATGTTTGAAAAAAACATCGTAGAAAGTTCATTTCTTCGAAATTTATAAGACAATTGTCCGAGTGGAAACAAGAAAAATCAAGTTTTTTTTGTCAAGTGGAGAATTGAATTTTTTTCGAAAAAGATCATATCATAGGAATAGATTATTTGAAACTGGTTCTGGTCCTAATCTTATATGTCTCTACATGCGATATCTTTCACCACTACTTGATTATAACGATTCAATTATCCAAGAAATTTTCAAATTATAGTTGGAACATAAGTATAGTTTCTTTGGCTTTTCATTGTATTGTTGATGATTTTACTGTTTCAAACCATTGATATATAAATATATCTTAATAGGGTTCAATCTTGGCTCATCTTCAACAAAAGCCAAGCATCTTTCCTCGATGGCATAATATGCATGATGTCACTCTCCAATTCACCAATCAATATCTATTGCCTTCTCATCGTGTTGGAATTCTTGATAATATCTTGCAAAGTGCTTGTTATCTCACAAGTTTGACTGCTCATTGGTCGGATGTGCTTAATGTAGCCAAGAATAATATTAGAAAATATCCTACTGTCAAACGTCTTCACTTATTGTTATCATTCGGACGAGATTGGCATGATGATGTTGATGTCGATGTAATGGTGCTACTAGATCCTTCGGTGATTGCTCATCTATTTCCTTGTCTACGTCAGCTAAGCACATCTGGTGATTTACCTCGTGGTCGTATTCGTTTGACATCATTAGATCCTCTTGTTTCACTCGTACTTTCTTTAATTGCACATCTTTCACCTCATTTAACATTTCTGTATCTTAACAAATGTGAAACATCATTGTCAAGACTTGTTTCTTTGTCTAAAGATAAGCAGAAATATGTTTGTGATGTTTTAAAAATGAAAATATCATCTGCTGCTCGCATTACAATCACTGATGGTGATAGATTGAAAATTTGGTTGTAAAAACAATAAAAAAATAAAAATAAAGCATGAAATGAAATACATCGCAAATATTTTTTTCTTCTAGAAATGTTGATGTTGTTTTCTGATGGAACCATTAAAAATATGCATGTACCAAACACAAATCTCAAAAAGTTTGGATTTTAAACTTCATTTTAGATTTTGAGGCACCTATGTTTCGAATGGAGTATATTGAGCTGCATTATTAGTTTGGTATGTCGTTCCGACACTCAATCATCTGATTTTAGGAAGACAACGTTAATATTGATTTTCGACAGAATTATATAAAACTTGACTAAAAATAATTGACTATGAGGAACAAAAACAATTATCGGATTATTAAAAATTTTGAAGTTGCTTTTCTCGATTCTAGAGTCATAATTTTTGGATTTTCACGAAATTTAACAAAACAAACCTTTGCTTCAAAATTTTGATACACAAACGTAACATTCTGAGACTCAATGAATCTCATCGATTAGTAACAACAGTTGTATTTCAATACATTCACAGCAGTGAAATTCGAAAGTTTTTTCAAGTACCATCGTGACAGCGGCAACTCTTTAAAAATTCATCACGGTATAGCAGCATCGCGAGAGATTTTCTTTTCTTTTGCCGCGACGCGACAGCGGAAGATTTTCAGGCGCAATGGATATCTCTGCAGCGGACCCATCTTTGGATGAAGGCTGACTCTTCTCGTACAGTTGGAACATGTGATATATTATTAAAAGATAAATTTAGTTGTTTTGGATAAATTCGAAATAAGCCCCCCAAAAAGAACTAAATTCCGCTAGTCTCTTGAATATATAGCACGAATGTCATGATATTGTTTATTTTAAGTTTTTGTATAAAGAAATAGATAATAGTGTATTTATTATTGTTTAGATGAGGAGAAATTAAAATTTTTATACTCTCTATAATATATACTTTGATGTTAATAACACAAATCCTTTTTTTTTCTTTATTCATTAAATTTCAAAGAATTTATAGCTGATTTCTTTTCATTAATAGACACATAAATATCAATCTAAAGAATATATGATCAATAATTTTTCTTTTCTTTTTCTGTCTCCTTCTATTGTAATTCCATAAAAATAACCGAATGAAATCATAAAACAAAAAACCAACAATAACAACAAGAAATATACAACATCGACATTTGAAGAACAAGTTCATGATTGTTTTTTAATCAATGAATGTGGAATAGACAGAGAATGAAACACATACAAAGAAAAAGACTCGAACAATGAAAAAGAAACATACAATTAAGTGCTATTTTATTTTTCAATTAATTAAATCAAGATGATGCTTTTGTCGATCGTTGACTTATAAGTTTTTCAACTTCTTGTAATTTTTTTTAATATTTTTTTCTTTTTGTTTTCTTTCTTTTTACCTAACTAAAAAACAAAAAAAAGTAAGATTTAAGAAAATCTAATTTTAAATGAAAATACAAACTTGAATCAGAATTTTCTGCATTATTTGTATTAGTTGATGATTTATAAGAATCAGCTAAAAAGAAAGAAATTTTTGGTTTTTTTTTTTGAATAAAGAAAATTAATCAAAAACAAAAATTTACTATTTAATTTTGTCTTTTGTTTTTGTTGTACTTGTTGAATCGGTTGATGATGATGATGTATCACGTCGTTGCTTAAGACAAAAATAAAAACAAAATTAAATATTTGAATTTTGAAATAAATTAAATTTTACTTTAGCCATTGTCAATGATGATGATTCTTTATTTTTTGATAATGTTCGAGCTGAAGAATCATTTGTGGATTTTGTATTCATACTTTTACCGCCACCACCATCACCTGATAATGAAGATAATTGTCGACTCACTGCTTTTATTGAATGACTTTTACTACTAACTGATGTTTTACCTACATTAGAATCAAAAGAAAAATAAATTAAAAACGAATTTCTTCTTAGATCATAAATATAATTGATCTATTTTTAATTAAGAAAAATATTTGTTGGAGCATTTTTCATCTCAAAAATAATAATCAAAATACAGATAAACAATAAAGCTTTATATTTACTGAAATGAAAACGGGGACAAATACACTTATCGACCCCCCCCCCTCATCTATTGACTTAATTCGACTAATTAGACCCTGGGGAGTTCATTAAAAGTATTCCCAAAGGTCCCAGACCGATAGTTTAGGAGACATGTGAAAAATTAGACTTGAGTTTAAAATTGCATAAAAGGTTTATTTTTTGAAATAAAATGTAATAAGTGTATCAAACAAACAGTTAAATAATTAAAAATCACCAGGCTCCCACTCAGGATCGGTTATGTGGGTGTGGCTGTGGGTGTGTGGATATGTTAATCTTTTCTTGAGGTACAGCCACACCTACCCCCACCCATACACCCACACTCACCCACACCCACACCCACACCCACACCCATACCCACACTCACCCACAGATGACACATACGACAAACATATATATCTTTTTTTCTTTCGTTTTATTCATTTAGATATTTTCCTTCTTATGATATTGTTTGGATATTTTTCTCCTCCGGTTGATTCGACTCTGGCGCTATCTATTTTCAAGTTTTTAAAATTAGGTTATCTCTTAAACTATTGATCTGGGACCTTTGGGAATACTTTTAATGAACTCCCCAGGGTCTAATTAGTCGAATTAAGTCAATAGATGAGGGGGGAGGGGGGGGGGGGGTCGATAAGTGTATTTGTCCCATGAAAACGTGAATTTTATAAAGATGTCATAGTTCGTCTTACGACAATTCAAAATCAAAATTTCTTAAGATCGAAATTATAGTATCCTTAGTTTTTGCCTTTTATTTGTCTGTATGATTATATATTAAAGTCTATTTCAGAGTTAAGTTTCTATGGGGGTTTTTTTTGAATAAGTTTTAAACAAACGGAGGAAAAGAGTTGAGGTTTTTATTACTGTCTAGAATCGATATTGCTTTATGTTTTAACAAAGTCAATGAAAAAATTCAATTAGTTTTCTTATAAGATAGCCCAACTCATTTTCTATCGATCAACATAAGACCGAGATCGATAGCTGTTTTCGTTTAAAAGATATATGGATTCCATTGAAGGCTACTCATGAAAATCTGAAGTGATGAAAACTCTTTCTACAATCAGAAATTCAGTTTTTCTCATCTTCAAAACCGATCAGATATTCAAGGAAAAAATTAATTGGATTTTTTCGTTGATATTTTGTAAAAAGCTAAAGCAATGTTGACTCTAGACAATAGTGAAAACTTCAGTTCTTTCCTTCTTTATCTTTTAAAGTTATTCAAAAAATGTTCATTACCATTTAACTCTGACATGGATATTAGACATAAGCAAGAGAAAACTTTTACTAAAATATTGCGAGTTTAGATATGAATCATGAAAAATGAGATTTTAAATAATCTAAAATTTTCCAAAGTATGATTAGTTTTATTAGACAAGCACGTAGTGAAGAATAATTTAGGTGAATCATTATAAAGAAAAAATAAGTTTTGATATAAGAAAATTGTTTAGTCCTCAAGATATTTAACAAGAATCAATCATTGTCTCATTATATTTCTGTTATTAAATCTAACCTGTTTTTATTGTTGATGATGAACTTGTTTCATTCTCTGAACTTGAAGTATCCAATAATGAACTAAATGATCGATGTGTTATTCTATTTACATCACAATCTGATAACGATGATAAACTTGTATTATCCGATCGACTAAATACAACATAAAAATAAAATCAGTTTTAATATTTCTTTTTGTTTTGTTTATACCTAATATTCTCTTTTTTTTTGTTTGTTGTTTTTTATATTTATATCTAAATCTTTTCCATCGTTGATCTTTTGAATGATTATTAATCATTGAATTACTACCCATGTCGTAAATACCGGATCAATTTTCGCGGTAAACCGCGGTTATCGGCAAAACCGCCGGTTTACCGCGATAAATTGTATGTAATGGGAGCCGCTAACCGGATCGGTAAAACCGCGGTAAATTGTATGTAATGGGAGCCGCTAAGCGGACCGGTAAAACCGCGGTAAATTGTATGTAATGGGAGCCGCTAACCGGACCGGTAAAACCGCGGTAAATTGTATGTAATAGGAGCCGCTAACCGAACCGGTAAAACCGCGGTTAACCGCCGGTTTTTATCCGGTTTTCATCACATGGGTATTATTAGTACTTGTTTTTTCGATGTTCGACTTGAGATTTGTCGACCAGGAAGAAATTTATTTGTTGTTGCTGTTCTTGTTCTTGATGGTCGTATGATTTGTTTTTATTACCATTAGATTTTTTTTTGTCATTACCATTTGTAACCATTCTATTTAAAAAGAAAAATAATTTAATATTTATTCATTTTTTTTTCTTATTCAAAAGAAATCTTTTTTTTAGTACTCAGATGATTATGTTGTTAATAATGATTTTGTTGCACGTGTTATAGAAGGTGAACAATATTGTCGATCTAAAGCGTAACTCAAACATAAAATGAAATGTTAAATTATATGCAAAAATATGATTATTCATGCATAAGAAAAATAAACAATGATGATTAATAAGAAATAAAACTTGCCTTGATCGATTTGATGATGAATAAGATTGAGAACGTGAACGAGATGAACTAATAGAGAAGAACAAATTTTCATAAGAATTTTATTTAGAAAATAATATTATTTAAAAAAAAATGAATTTATAATTACATGAAAGATGAAGCTGATGATGATGAGCAGGATGGTTCACGGCCACCATCACCTAATGAACGATGATATAGGAGATAATTATCACCGTTTGGTATTTAAACAATATGATGATCTTGATCAGTAGATTGAGCAACATATTCACCAGGAGACATTCATTTTCAATGTTTTATACAGAAAGAAGAAAAAGCTCATTCGGAAAGAAAGAAGACACACATGAGGAAAAAAAGCGAAAAAATAAAACGAAATGCTTCAGTTTATTCTGATTATTATAGAAATTAATCAATCCTTTTCCAATTCAATTTTCGCCTTCATCCCTTTGGTCTTCCTGTACT